TGGGGTTAGTACTACAGTGGGTATACTACAGTACTACAGTGGTGCAGCTCAGAGAGGATGGAGCTGGTCATCAGAGGATCACAGGGTCTGATGTGTGGTTGTGTCTGTGTCTGTACTGATTCAGATCAGTACTTCATGGAGTCACAGTAGAAACGAGTTGTACTGCAGTAGAAGGTTTTCTGTGTTTTGCTCTGAAGCCAGGCAGTAAGATGAGGAGGTTTTCTCTGTTTCCTGTGTTGGTGTCAGATACAGAGCAGGTGACCTGGTGCAGAGGTCATCTGTTGGTTGGAGGAGGTTCCAGCTGTGATGTTGTCTGGTCAGACAGATGTGAAGTCCTCAGCAGACAGTAGATTAATAACAGACCAGCAGTCACAATGATACTGGATCCAGGTCCAACAACAGACTTCCATTAGTGTCTCTGATGTCAGTAGATTGTTGAACCAAAGTGTTGTTCAGTCACAGAGATGTTACATGTGATATAACCAGGCGAAGCTTTGGAAAATGTTTCTGTTACTGTTTTATTTTACCAGACATAAAGTAATCAATACAGACAGTAAACCAATCACAGGTGAAGGGACTAAATGATCAATTAATCATCTACTACTGTTAGCTGATAACACTGGTGTTTTACAGAGACAGTAAATAAACAAGTATTAGAATTAGAAAACAGCAGCAGCAGTAGTGGCTTCACATCAGTTAGAGAAATACACAGAGAATCAAACCTCCTTCTCTCCGGCTGCTCTGTCATCAGACTGATGTGAACATCATAACTTTTTATGTCCACATCAACATAGTTGTCTGAGGTGTGTGCTGCAGCTCACCTCCATCAACAGCCCACATGTCCTGTTGAAGCCCAGAGCCTCCTTAATGATCTGTACCACATCAGTCAGCCTCAGAGACAGCCTCATCATAACACCTCCAGAGTTAGGGCCATTTGAAAATCCTCCAGTCGTCCTCTCTGATTTACAGAAGACAGACCGACTGTAGAACCACCAAATAAAGATGGTTGGTCCTCAGCAGAGGTTCATGGGAACTGCTGCTGCTGAGGAGACAGAGGATGAAGGTCAAGGACAATGGAACAGTCGGCAGCTGCATTTTCAGAGCAGTGTTTGTTCCAGTTGTCGTTGTGGTGAGACAACTTCTTTTGACTGAACTTGATCTCTGTAATCACCAAGTGAGCTGAACCAGGGTAGAGATGAAGAAGGTTCATCTTCATCAGGAACAGCTGTCCTCATGTCCACAGTCTCTGCTCCGTCCTCCACCTCACTGACTTCTCACCGTCATCTTTTCCCTCCTGATGACAAACTGAACAGAGAGTTGAAGTTGGACAGGTGTCTTCAGTCTCTGCTCTGCTTTATCTGCTCTTTGTCCTCGTCTCTCTGCAGGACACAGGAGTCTCTGGACAAGGAGAAGAACGGACATCTGAATCATGCCTTTCACCTCAAGGTGGTCGGACCAATCAACAAAGCAAGCAGCAGCAAGGGGGTAAGTGGAGGGAGAGAAGAAGGAAGGAAGAGAGGGAAGTAGGAGGCATGGCAGAGTGAAGGACGGATGGAGGAAGGAAGGAAGGAAGGAAGAGAGGGAAGTAGGAGGCATGGTAGAGTGAAGGACAGAGGGAGGAAGGAAGGAAGAGAGGGAAGTAGGAGGCATGGCAGAGTGAAGGACGGATGGAGGAAGGAAGAGAGGGAAGTAGGAGGCATGGCAGAGTGAAGGACGGATGGAGGAAGGAAGAGAGGGAAGTAGGAGGCATGATAGAGTGAAGGACAGAGGAAGGAAGGAAGGGAAGAAGAAAAGGTGGAAGAGCTAAAATATATGAGTGAGGAAGAAAGGACAAAAAGAGAGGGAGGAAGAGAGAGAAAGCACTAAAGGAGGAAGAACAGAGGAAAAAAGGATGAAATGAAGGAAGGAAGCAAGATGGCAGAAAGGAAGAGAAGACTTTAGAAATGATGGAAGGAGAGCTGGAAGGATGGAGGAAGGGAAATGTATGAACGAGAGAAGGAAGGAAGAAATGAAAGGAGATAAGAGTCAGAAGGGAAGAATGCAGAGAAGGAGGGAAAGAAAAAAGGACAAAAGTAAATCAGGAAAAACCAATGGATGGAAGAAAGAAAGGAGGCAGCGTTCAGAAAAAGGAAGGATAATGAAGGACAAAGGACACTAGGACAGAGGGACTAATTGATGAGACAATACCTCACAGCTGCATCAACACTGAGTGCCATTTTGAGATCATTGGTATTTTTCTAAAACCTTTTTGTCTTTCCTTGTGTCCAGCTGTCTCACACCAGCAAAGAAGTCCTTCCTCTCAGACCAGGTCTGGCGTCCAATGGTACCCAGCCAGTCAACATTGTACGTCCCCTGAGACCCGTCCCGTCTCCTCAGAAAGGCCAACAACAGGTCAAGACGCTTCGTCCACCTTTGCCGTCTAGCAAGCCCCCAACGGCCCCGCCCACATCATCATCATCATCGTCGTCCCCAGCCGTACAGAGACTCAGTCCTCCCAAGAAACCTCTGCCCCTCAACCCAAGCAGATCTCCACTGGTGAGTCAAAGCACAGTTTACACACTTTACTGTAGAGCTGGAAGAATGAGGGAATAATACTAAGACAGGGAAAAGAAGAAGGGTTCAGATGAGATCATTTAAAAAGATACAAAGTCAAGTCAGGCCAATGTGGCTGTGACATTTGAAGAGAGTAAATATATGTTAGGCAGCTAACACTCTGCAGAGAGTCTGCAGTAACATGTTAGCGTGTCAAACTGGTAACCTCTCCTCTGCTTTGATCACAGCTAACTGTGTGATTTGTTAATGTTGTTGCCAAACGCTCAGAGCTAATGAGGAACCCTTTAAACACAGAGTTTGGAGGATAAATCAAAGAGATTCTCTCTGAACCCTGACCATAAATCTGGAAGCGCTCTTTATATTTATCTATATGTTTCTTTTAGTCTGATTGCTTTCTTCATCGATTTCACCTCCAGAAGAACTTTTTTAATCAGTGTCTCTGTGAAGAACAAAATTCCCTCAGAGTTTAAGATCAGATTAGAAAAAGAAACAGTTCTCTTCAGCTGCGTTCTGATCTGAGAGTTCCGCAGTTGGTCGGAGATGTTTGTCACTGATCACCTGTGTGAGCGACAGACAGCTGATCCTGCTGTCATCTCACTGGGCTCTGCTGTGTCCACATCCCACAGATTTAGAGTCCTCTTCCATGGACACTGATCTCTGTCTCTTTTCTCCTTCACAGTAAACTGTTGTATTTCTAATCAATAATTTTTTTCTTTTTCATAAATACCAAATTTTACAAAGTTAAAACCGCTGATCTTTGGGATTTGGAAACAACATCAAAAATAGATGAGGAGGTGAAGTCAGTGGAGGAGTTTTGATTGGTTGAACTTGATTGGCCAACGCGTCTAATCTTCATGTAGAGCTGACCTTAGTTTTGTAGATTTTTTACTTTTATTTAGTGTACTTGTATAGTATCTGTGACCGTGGTCCACCCACTCCAGGTCATTCTGAACATAATGTTGTTTTATCTGTAGGTGTAAACAACACAGCATTCTCGTCTCCAGGAAGACGTATTCCTGTTTGACTTTACCGTGAACTCACAGGGAATTTGATCCAGTGTTTGATCTACAATCTCAGTTCCATCTTATGAGAACAGCCTTGTTCAATAACAACTTTTTATTTATTTATTTATTTATTTCTCCCAGCTTAAGTCCCAGCTCCGTTTGAACGTCCTTTATGACCCGACCATAAAATGACTGCCGTGAAATATTCCTTTACTTCTCTATTTCACACTCTGTTCTGTCCAGAGCAGGTGTGAGGACAGGTTTACTAACCATGCAGTGCAGTGACTGGGCTCATCAGCAGCAGTCAGGCCTCATTTTGTCAGACGCAGAGCAGAGCAGAGCAGAGCCGTGAACTTTATTCCTGACTGTGGACAGAAAGGCTTTCTCTCTGAGCTTCTACAACTGGTATAGAGCAGAGCCGTGAACTTTATTCCTGACTGTGGACAGAAAGGCTTTCTCTCTGAGCTTCTACAACTGGTATAGTATAAACTTACTTAGAAGAGATGAGTAGCTGTTTAAGAAACACTGGCCAAGTGTCACATTTCCATTCATCATTATTATTCTGTAGTGTTACTGCATAAAGGGAAAAGGGAAAATCTGCGAAGTTAAGGCGAGATACTTATTTTATTATGTCGGATATATTTACCCTTTACGATCCTCCCCCACACTGTTATCAACCCTCCCTAGACTGTATTACCCTTTCCCACACAATTATATGCACAGTAGAGTTGTAGAATGGAAATATAAGACATACATATTATGTGAATAAATGAGCTCTCGCGAGATTGGAATAAAAAAAAGTCTGCGATGTACTAAGGGAGCGAAAGGAGAACCCCAATATAGAGAGGGAACACTGTATATGCTGATGATACAGTGATGTTTTTTTTTCTAACCTTAGACTACAAATATAAAACACATTAAAACCCTTTTAAAGAAGCAGAATTGTTGCAGAGAAACAGTGTAACGTCCCTCGATCAATTCTGAATTTAAAAAACTACAATAATTACCTGAAGAGTATAAACTTACTTTGTAGAGATGAGTAGCAGTTTAAGAAATACTGGCCAAGTATCACATTTTCATTCATCATTATTATTCTGTAATGTTACCGCATTAAAAACTGTCTTATTACAGGAAATGTTGACAAAATCTGTAATGATAACAATAATAGTAATGAGTAATAATAATCTGCTGACTCGACAAACTCTGAAACCTCAGTGTCTGTATCGTCTGTACAGGAGGCGGAGGAAACTAAACCTCACTGACTGCTCCTTTAAAATCACCCCGTCTTTATTTGCTTTGTTACGCTACCTGAAGATTGATTTCGAGGCGGTGTCTCGGCTGCCTGCCACCCATTCCGACCCCCAGGGTTTGTTTGGACGATGTGGTAATGGTCTAAAGAAAAACGTCGACATCAATATCTCTCCCCCACCGGGCCGTTCGTACTCGCTGTCTTAGAGCGTCGCTCTCGAACCGTTGACTCCCTAGATGTTTTTGTCTCCGGGGTGAAGACAGCTGCCTCTAGCAGATATCTCATTTCCCACGGAGTGGAATCCATTACGGCCTTCGGGCACTGCCATTGGCCAACCATTTTCAAGACAACAGTACACAGACTATTACCCAGAAAGAAAATAAGAAAAACCATAGAAAGAAGTTAGACTTTTTCAAACTATTTGTTATGTAAACACAAATAGATTTTTAAGAAAGATTTACTTATAAAATGTTCTTCTTTCTTATTCCCATGTATGGGTGGACATTTATCTAGTGAGGGTGGGTTCACTACTCCATCCTATTAACACTCATTCATAGGATACCTATGGTTAGCTAACAGTGTCAAATTAACACCATCACAAATGTTTTTGGACCACGTAAAGTGGTCTCAGTTACCTCTTGGGATTGAACTGCTGACCTTCTTGATGTAAGGCAAGGGTACTCAACACTTGTGGAGCACCACTAGTTGTGATCCACACGGTGATTTGGCAGAGTTATTACACGAGACGCGACGCGAACGTTGACTCTAATTTACCGCCCTACGATGCCTCCTACAGACTGAGCATCTTCTCAGTTTCTCTTCTGTTACGAAGCCCAAACAAAGACAGCTTTTATATATGGTCCGTCCATCTTGGCCAGTATTCACTCCTCTGTTCACTCTCCTCTCTCCTTGGTTCCAGCTCCTACTAACATTAGGAGAGGAGCGGGTTACTCCAATTGCGCTCACCTGCATCGCCACTCCCGTGCTCCCCCTCCTGCAGCTGAGCGCTAACCTTTGCCGCGTCGTATTTAATTTACCCAATATGTATGTCTTATATTTCCATTCTACAACTCTACTGTGCATACAGTTGTGTGGCCAAGGGTAATACAGCCTAGGGAGGGTTGATAACAGTGTGGGGGAGGATCGTAAAGGGTAAATATATACATAGATAATATAATAACTATCTCGCTTCTACTTTGCAGATTTTCCATTTTTACGGTGGGTCTTGAAACGCAACTACCGCCATAAGGGAGGGATCAGTGTTTGTGCAAAACAAGGACAGACTGTAAATAATACAAAGAGAGCGTTTGTCCTTTTGTAAAAATATTTTATTAAACAATTAAAAATCAATACACGCAGCAAAAGACATTCAAATTAACATGAGTGGCTGGGGTGCGTCCTTCAAGTCACTGAGTTCTTGGTCATGTAAACAGTGCTGAACAGAAGCTGTGATGTCATCGACCCTCCGGCTGCTCTGTCATCAGACTGATGTGAACATCATAACTTTTTATGTCCACATCAACATAGTTGTCTGAGGTGTGTGCTGCAGCTCACCTCCATCAACAGCCCACATGTCCTGTTGAAGCCCAGAGCCTCCTTAATGATCTGTACCACATCAGTCAGCCTCAGAGACAGCCTCATCATAACACCTCCAGAGTTAGGGCCATTTGAAAATCCTCCAGTCGTCCTCTCTGATTTACAGAAGACAGACCGACTGTAGAACCACCAAATAAAGATGGTTGGTCCTCAGCAGAGGTTCATGGGAACTGCTGCTGCTGAGGAGACAGAGGATGAAGGTCAAGGACAATGGAACAGTCGGCAGCTGCATTTTCAGAGCAGTGTTTGTTCCAGTTGTCGTTGTGGTGAGACAACTTCTTTTGACTGAACTTGATCTCTGAACAAAACCGGTGATTTCACCCGCCCCCCGTATGGGCCCCTGAATCTCCAGATTAAAAAAAAAAAAAAAACCACAAGAACAATAAATTATTTTCTATCTGGTTGTAAACTTATGGTGAAAGAATATTTTCAAGTGTGAACATGAGAACACACCCCAGGTTTGAAGACACCTCTTTGGCACAGAACACAAATAAAAATAAAACAAAAAAGACAGGCGTACAACAAAGTGTAAACAAAATGACAGTCATTGCTTAGTAAAAAAAAAAATACAAAAAAGGCATACAAATTATAATAAAAAAAACCCCGACAAATATATTTTAAAAAAACAAATCTAATTTGGCAAACGTGACCGTCACCCAGCGATAACTTTTGTCTTAGTCTGCAAGGCCTCCGTGCAAAACCGTGTCTTTGTGGTTAACATCAAAACGCTGGGGGAGAGGGTTAGGGGGCGAGGAGGGGGACAGAAGATAAGGTGACCGAGAGGAAAGGAAAGGAACCAGTCTGAACTGGAACGAGTCCTTGATTTTTCATGTCTCCGTTTTGGTTTCTCTGTGTTGGTCACCCTGCAGCGTCTGGACAGCTCTGCCATTTACCAAAGTCTCTTTAGTGCAAATAGGGCCATGGGCTGCCGTCTCCTTGAGGGACCGGGGACACAGAGGAGAAGGTCATTTTCGTGTTGGCGGTGAGGCTGTGTTTGGTTTGGCACCTGGGACTGGTCTAGAGAGAAAAAAGGGAAGGAGAAGAGAGATTTGAACAAAATGTTTTAGCAGCAACATGTCCTACGGGAAAAGGGAAAAACTTTAAGATGTTTTTCCAATGTCATAAAATTCTTTATATACACGTGACCCTGGTGTTACACTGTCCAGGTGGCTAAGAAGAAATAGGGCAAAAGTGATTTCTGGGTTTTTTTGGGAACTTTTTATGAACGTATAACAGCACATCACTGTATCATCAGCATATACAGTGTTCCCTCTCTATATTGGGGTTCTCCTTTCGCTCCCTTAGTACATCGCAGACTTTTTTTTTTATTCCAATCTCGCGAGAGATCATTTATTCACATAATATGTATGTCTTATATTTCCATTCTACAACTCTACTGTGCATATAATTGTGTGGGAAAGGGTAATACAGTCTAGGGAGGGTTGATAACAGCGTGGAGGAGGTTCGTAAAGGGTAAATATATCCGACATAATAAAATAAGTATCTCGCCTTAACTTCGCAGATTTTCCCTTTTCCCTTTATGCAGTAACACTACAGAATAATAATGATGAATGGAAATGTGACACTTGGCCAGTGTTTCTTAAACAGCTACTCATCTCTTCTAAGTAAGTTTATACTCATCAGGTATTTATTGTAGTTTTTTAAATTCAGAATTTCATTCATTTCATGATTAAGGGATGTTTTCAGTGTTTCTCTGCAACAACTCTGCTTTTTAAAGGGTTAATGTGTTTTATATTTGTAGTCCAAGGTTTGAAAAAAAATAAAATAAAGTCAAATGTAGAGAAGCAGTTGTAGAAGCTCAGAGAGAAAGCCTTTCTGTCCACAGTCAGGAATAAAGTTCACGGCTCTGCTCTGCTCTGCGTCTGACAAAATGAGGCCTAACTGCTGCTGATGAGCCCAGTCACTGCACTGCATGGTTAGTAAACCTGTCCTCACACCTGCTCTGGACAGAACAGAGTGTGAAATAGAGAAGTAAAGGAATATTTCACGGCAGTCATTTTATGGTCGGGTCATAAAGGACGTTCAAACGGAGCTGGGAGAAAAAAATAAATAAATAAAAAGTTGTTATTGAACAAGGCTGTTCTCATGGAATGGAACTGAGATTATAGATCAAACACTGGATCAAATTCCCTGTGAGTTCACGGTAAAGTCAAACAAGAATACGTCTTCCTGGAGACAAGAATGCTGTGTTGTTTACACCTACAGATAAAATAACATTATGTTCAGAATGACCTGGAGTGGGTGGACCACGGTCACGGATACTATACAAGTACACTAAAGTGTGTGAGTGTGTGAGAGAGAGGAAAATCTACAAAACTAAGGTCAGCTCTACATGAAGATTGTTGATACTGCTTCAGGAGTCAACTGTACTTCATTATACGTCGTCAAGCCTCTGAGCTACAGTACAGCCAACACAGTACCTCGGCAGGACATCTATCTTGCGCGAATAGATAATTAATTCCCATGGTCTGTTCTCTGACCTTGAAACTAAATACAGTGGACCCCCGAGATACGAGTCTAATCCGTTCCACAACAGCCGTCGTATGTCGATCCGCTTGTATCTCGATTGAATTGTCCTTTTTAAAAATAACTAAAAAACAATTTATTTGTTCCAGTCCCCCAGAAATATATTATTAATTAGTTAAATTAAAATCCCCCCCCATCTGAACATAAAACATAGATATAAACAAATATATTGGTAATATTTTTATATTTTATTAAACACTAAAAGTGTATGACTGCTTTGGCATCAGAGCTCGTGGCTTCCCCATGTTGTACGTCTAAATGGATGCCAGTCTTGTAGTGATGCAGACTCGTAACATGGAATACATGGAGTGATGCAGACTCGTAACATGGAATACAGTATTTCGGGAAGCTCGTATTTCAGGGGGTCCACTGTAACTAGTGCTGATGGCCACATGGTGGCGTGGTGGTTTACATCCACTGGCTCTAACTGTACCTGTTTTACCCTACTATCCAACAACACGCTGGTTGTGTTTTCACTCTAAATTTACCAGCAGTGTGAATGGCTGTTTGTCTTTCTATGCTGCCTTGTAGTTGACTGGTGAACTGTCCAGGCTTTACTCTGCTTCTTGGCTCCTCCGTGACCCTAGATTAGGCTAAATGCTAAGCTAGCCCACTTAGCTTTTTGTCCTTGTTATGAGTTTGTTCCGTGCAGAATTTAGTTTGTTTTAAGTTAATGCTTGACAAGAGAAATATTGTCATATTCTCCTTCAGAGTCACCATGTACGTTACTGTGTGAGCTCAGCACTGCCCCCTCTGGAGGCTGTAGTGGATAACAACCATCACATGCAGAAGACAGGCATGACAGTATGTGGACAGTGACGTCTAGAACAGATGAATTTATTTCGGTTCATGAAGGAAGTTTTAATGACGTAACTTATATATATATATATATGTACAATTATTTTGTTCTTTTTAAATTTAGTGGGTGCATCTTATATTCAGTTGTGTTCAATAGTCCGTAAATGACGGTAGATTGTCTCTCACTGCTGCGTTCGTCTTTGCCCACCTGAGTGCCCTCAGAGGGGGGATAGCAGAGACTTTGACCATAGGTTTGGGTCCCACCGCTGGTGGCATCATGACCAGCAGACCTGTAGAGGGTTTGGAGACGGCCTTCAGCTGTGGACTTATGGTGGGGGAGGGTCCCCTTGGTGGACTGATAGGAAGGGGTCTCTGAGGAGGAAAGGGAGACGATCTGGACTGAAGTGCTGAAACTAACTGAAATGATGGAGAACAGAGAGGTGGACATTAGAGACCGGTGTGGGACATTTGTTCCAGTATTGTTTTCCACAGTCATCAAGGTCTTTTGAAGTTCGAAACACGCATTGGCCAATCAAGTTCAACCAATCAAAACTCCTCCACTGACTTCACCTCCTCATCTGTTTTTGATGTTGTTTCCAAATTCCAAAGATCAGCGGTTTTAACTTTGTAAAATCTGCTATTTATGAAAAAGAAAAGATTAGAAATAAAACTGTTTACTTTGAAGGAGAAAAGGGACAGGGATCAACTGTGGAAGAGTACAGATCAGATCAGAACGCAGCTGAAGAGAAC